GGTGGGAGCGCCGCCACGCTCCCAAGCAGCGCACTCTCCAGTGCGCCACCGGGCCGGCCCAGAAAAGATATTTTTGATACTTTTCTTTTAAGGCTATTTTAAGGGCATTTGAATGGGCACATGTGCCTGCTGTATGGTGAATTGTGGAGGACAGCCAAGGCTTTTGGAGGCTTCAGGTACTTCTAATGGTTGAATACTAAATGTGATGCTAGAGACAAGCCCAAACCAAAGTGAAGCTCATCTGTATATTCCAACTTCTGCCCGGATGTTGGTTCTCCCTAAACCTTCCCATCAGCAGGCAGGGGAGATGGCCACGTCTCCTTAGACTATCTCTCCCTTGGAAGGGCTGCTTCACCTCTAGCTTGTTTTCCCAAATATAAAACTCACTTGGGGACAAAAGCCAAATGGACTGCCTTGTGTCAGTTGACACATGTTTACACAGAGGGAGGACAGAGCTGTGATTTCTGTGACCTGATTAGCTAGCTAGTTCAGTCATTTTGTGTATTGATCTGGAATATTTAGGTCACATGACAAAAGGACTCACATTTTTGGGCTTTTTTACCAAAACGACTGTATTTTTGACCCCTCGGCCATGTAAAATGGATTTCTCTCTCTGCTCCTACTGCTTTTTCACCATTTATTTTAGAAATATTTGTGCCACCATTTCAAAATGAACTGGAGAAATGGGTTCTTTTTCTCTAGTACATTTGTGACATTCCAACTGAAAACACCACAAGGATTAGTAAGTTTATATCTTTGTACAAATATCCAAGTCAGTCATGCAAGTGCTGCCTTTTCCCTTGATGTCGAGAGGCATTTGTGGGTTCCTTAGGAGGTCCTTGAGGACAGTCTGTCCTCCCACACTTGGAAGAATCTGCTCCCTTGTGCCTGTTTTTGTTTCCCGAAGTCTTGGGTTTCCCCTCCTCCACCTCCACCTCCCTCTCCCTCTTCTTCCTTCTTTCTTCTTCTTATTCTGGGAGTAGAAGGAATACTCCTTGCCACTCAAGGATGTATATCCCCAAACCATCCTTCCCCAAAACTCTACCTTCTGCTTCAGGACAGGAGCTGCATCAGATAGGCTCTGTCACTGGCATGTTCTC